AAATTTCAATCCTACTTCATCTTCTGAAAGTTTTACAGCCTTGCCTTTCATATCTAGGTCTTCCAGTGTTTGGGTTCTTTTTTAATTTTAAAGAGAAAAAGTTTGAGAACAGGAAGATAAACATGAATTAGAGGAAAAATGAAGTTTCAAAACCCGTGACAGTGGGAATGTTGATAAGAGTGGAGGCCCTGCACGTGTGGGGGCAGGGCATGGGTGGGAAATCTTTGTGCCTGCAGCTCCATTTTGCTGTGAGCCTAAAGCTGTTCCGAAAACGGCCTATTGAACAACAGCAACAAGACAGCAGCTGAAAGAACTCAGGAGCGTTAAGAGACATTTTAAAAGAAAGCAACTTGGCCTGGAGGGCAAGAGGGGGACGATCACTGTACTTAATAATTGGGGCTAAATATTTGGTTAAAAAACCCACAATCCCCCCACACTCAAATGACATTTTCTAATGTAAAAATGCGATTTTTTTTGCTTTTATTTCTTATTAACTATAATGCAGTGAATAAGAGAAAATGGCTTCTGTTGTACCTCAGTTTGCACATTCTTGTCCACATTTATTTATTGCATGCCAATGTTCTGATCAGCAGGTATAGATTGCATTTTATGCTTTTCAGTTTTTCAGTTTGCTTGAGATTTTATTTTAACGTTATATGACTGTCAGTCTTCACTGTTTTGAGACAGGAGCTGTGGGGAGTGCAGGAGTCAGTGAATGGCTTCTCAGAAAGTGCTTTAAACCAGAGGCAGGGTTGGGTACTGGTCTGAGCATGGGCTTTCAACCAGTGGCTCTGGAGTAACATCAGGCCTTTGTTGTCCTTGTAGCTGTGCAGCCTTATGCAAACTACTTAACATCTCTGAGCTTTAGCTTCCTCATTAGGGATGATGATCTTTCTTTTATGTATCTCTTGAATATTGAATGAAAAAATATAGGTATATCACCTAGCATGGTGTCTGGCCCATAGAATAAATGTTAGCTTGTTGTATTTTGTTTATATTTATTTATTTTGGAGGCAGTCTTACTCTGTCACCCTGGGTAGAGTGACGCAGTAGCTCACAGCAACCTCAAACTCCTGGGCTCAAGCTATCCTCTTGCGTCAGCCTCCCTCAAGTGATCCTCTTGTCACAGCCTCCCAAGCACCTTGGACTATAGGCACACTCTGTTATGCCTAGCTACTTTTATAGCTAGGGTCTTGATCTTGCTCAGGCTGGTTTCCTGATTTCCTGAGCTCAAGCAATCTACCTACCTTGGCCTCCCAGAGGACCTCTGTAGTTCTCTCTCTCTTTTTTTTTTTGGAGACAGAGTCACACTCTGTCATCCTGTGTAGAATGCTGTGGCATCATAGCTTATAGCAACTTCCAACTCTTGGGCTTGAGCAATCCTCTTTTCTGAGCCTCTTGAGTAGCTGGGATGACAGGCATGTGCCATCATGCCTGACTAGTTTTTCTATTTTTAGTACAGACAGGGTCTGACTCTTATTTATTTATTTTTTTTTTGTGAGACAAGAGTCTCACTTTGTCACCCTTGGTATAGTGCTGTGGAGTCATAGCTCACAGCAACCTCCAACCCCTGGGCTTAGGCGATTCTCTTGCCTCAGCCTCCCGAGTAGCTGGGACTACAGATGCCCGCCACAACACCCAACTATTTTTTGTTGCAGTTTGGCCAGAGCTGGGTTTGAACCCACTACCTTCGGTATATGAGGCTGGCTCCCTACTCACTGTGCCACAGGTGCTGCCCAGAGACAGGGTCTGACTCTTGCTCTGGCTGGTTTCTAACTCCTGAGCTCAGGCAATCCACCTGCCTCGGCTTCCCAGAGTGCTATAATTATAGGCGTGAGCCACCATTTCTGGCCTCTGCAGGTCTTTTGTAGAATTGATTCTATCATTTTATTTTGGCCTTCGGTTACCTCCTGGATGCTGTTCTCTATGAATGTTATTTTGGAGGCCTGGGTTTCTCTGTCTGGAGTGGTTGTTTGGCAGTCAGTTAAGAGCACCTGGTTGCCTGACCTTGCACTTTTGAGAACCTTATGTTTGAAACCATGATAGGCAGCCAGATCTCATCAAGTCTTGAGAGGTGCTGTCAGGTGTGTGTGTTCCTGATCAGAGCCTGAACTTTAGAAATGGGCAAGTTTTGACCCAAGTGAGCAGAGAAAGGGAAAGTGCTTTAGGGAACATTGTGAAATAATCAGATCTGAGGAAAAAGATGGGGGAGGGAATAAACATTTCTCCAGTATCTTCTTGGTGCCAGGGTATAGACTAAAGGAGGGTTACCAGAGAGTGTGCCCGGGTGAGGTTGGTGAGCATCTTGGCAAAGAAGTTGGGTTTCTCACAGATGGAGTGGAGAGCTCTCCCAAGAGTGGGAGGAATAAGTTTCTTCTGTGCCTTGACTTAAAATGAGGACCTGAGTAATCATTACACCTTTCTTTCTAGGTCTTTCAGCGGCCCAGCGGAAGTTTGCTCATTCACTGAGAGACTTTAAATTTGAGTTTATTGGTGATGCAGAAACTGATGATGAACGCTGCATAGGTAATTAAAAATGAGTTTTTGATTTGTTCTCCTTTGCCTTGGCCACCAAATAATGATTTGTTTCTCTTTACAGATGCTTCCTTACGTGAATTTTCAAATTTTTTGAAGAATCTAGAAGAACAGAGGGAAATTATGGTGAGTTGAGAGGAATGTAATTCAGGGAGTGGTTGCAAAGGAGGAAAATCTGGGTTTAGAGCCCATTCTGGTAGAAGTTTTGATGTATTTATCTGTGAGCTCATAGTGCATTATGGTGGGAAGAGGTTTCAGGAGCCTGAATTTCTTTTTCCATGAGGATACTGATCTTGGGCAGGTTGCTGGACCTCTGGATGGAAGTTCTGTTTCTTCATCAATACAGTGGAGGGTCCGAGTACATCAGTGATTTCTAGCTTTTTGTTGACATCACAGCATTTAATTAATTAATGAGACAGAATCTCACTTTGTCACCCTTGGTAGAGTGTTGTGACGTCATAGCTGACAGCAACCGCAAACTCTTGGGCTCAAGCAATTCTCTTGCCTCAGCCTCCGAAGTAGCTGGCACTAGAGGCACCTGTCACAACACCCGGCTATTTTAGAGACAAAGTCTCTCGCTCTGGCTCACGCTGGTCTCCAATCTGTGAGCTCAGGTAGTCCACCCGCCTTGATCTCCCAGAGTGCTAGGATTACAGGCATGAGCCACCACGTGCAGCCCCTGCATCACAGCGTTTAAAAAGTCTTATGCAGGACCTTTAATATATCAATGGGATAAAAGCAGAAAAGCTTTTGCAGAGACAGAGGGACAGCAGGGCAATGTTAGCGCCTGACTTATGCCCTATAGACTTCTAGATTGGGTGGAGAAGTCTTTGAGATTGCACTTTGCCTTGACACTCATGATCATACCAGGAATAGGAATAGCTAGCCTTCTTTGGGTGCTCCCTGTGTACCTGTACACTGAGTGCCTTGAGTGGGTGGTCTTATTTAATGCATACTCAGCAGTGAATTTGAGGGGTATTAAATATTTGCCTGCCTGCCTTAGAAAGCTCACATTTCCTTCCTAATGATATTCTTTAATTGAAGAAAGATTCACAGTAGAATCTCTGCTGGTTTGTCACATACCGCCTGTCCTCACTGGTTTTTTTCAGGCTTTTAAAAAAATTACCAGCTTCTTTTTATATGTTCTTGGGAATGAGTGCTACTTAGAATTATTTTAAAATATGAGTGTTTGACTGGGTTCAGATGTGGTAGAAATCAGAATACCGAACATGAGAGCTCAGACAGCTAAGCTGTACCTGCTCTGTGCCAGGGTATAGAGTGGCAGACAGAGGCTACCCAGAGAGTGTGCCTGATTTAGGTTGATGGCATCTTGGCAAAGGAGTTGGGTTGTGCTTTCTCACAGACTGAGTGGAGAAGAGCTCTGCAGCTCTACCAAGGGTAGGAGGAATAAATTGACTCAAAATAAGGACCCAGTTAATCATTATGCTTTTCTTTCAAAGTCTTCCTTTTTTAGTTTGGAAAGACTTAGAGATAATAATACTGATCCATGATACCTAAGATAGTTAACCTTTATTTTTTTTAAATTTCAGATTAATAGGAGGCAGCAAATGCTTAAGTTAGCTTTTTTTTTTTTTTTGCAGTTTTTGGCCAGGGCTGGGTTTGAACCCGCCACCTCTATTATATGGGGCCGGCGCCCTACTCCTTTGAGCCACAGGTACCGCCTCATGGTTAGATTGTTAATAGTTAACCCTGACTATGTACCTGGGACTGTTCTAAGCTTTTACCTACCATTAAGTTGTTTAATTCTCATGTCCACCCTATGAGGGTGTAATAGTTATATACTCCCCATTTTATGGATGAGAAAATTGAGGCACTTTACCTTGTTCAAGATCACACGGTATCTAAAAGGTAGAGCTGGTGGGTGATAAGAAGCAGGCACCCTTGTCACTGCAGCCAGCTTCATAGACATTACTGATGGTGGCTGGGGCAAGTTTCTATTGGGTAGAGTTGTAGTGAAGTGGGAAGAGAGCACTGATTTTGATTTGAAAAATGACAGAGATATATGTCCTTTACAAGCCCTAATATAATTTATACTGTTCCCTAACTTCTGAGATAATTTGTATTACAAATACCCTAGAAGGCATGTGGCGTTTTTCTGGCACACACTGACAGATTCATCACTTTCATGTGAACCTGAAGTCATTGATTTGTTTTCAGCTGTTTAGGAAAGACTGCATATGCAAGTGGATAAAAATAGTGCCCTGACAGCCCGTGGGGTGAGTGTCGTGTGTGGGTCAGTGGTGGAGCTACATGTTCTTAGCTTACGTTAGTGGCACCAATTTTTTGTTCTTAACCCTCTTTGATATTTAGTTGTACTTTCCTGGGATACTGAGCTCCTTTTGTGTTCTACTTTCTGCTTGGAATCTGAGAATCGATTCTGAAAACCAAGTCCCTGCCTTCATGGAGGTTACATTCTAGAAGGGGAGGTGAAGTATAAATAGACGTGTAACATACTGCCAGGCAGTGGTCAGTGCTACAGAACAAAATAAAGAAGGGAAAGCAGCCAGAAGTGGGGCGGAGGGTTATTATCTCTGGGGTGTGAAGTGCTGAGGGCCTTTAGAGGACTCATCCTGGTATCTAGAGGAAGAGAATTCTGGGCAGAGTGGTGCTGGATTTTAGCTGTACAGAAATGCTGTGTGACCACAGTCTGTCTTGATACTCTGTGTTGTAGGTTCCTTGAGATGAATCAATGAGGCCAAAAATCTGGAACATGAGATTGGCTCCAGGCCATGCAGTATAGACAGCATGGTTCACAGAGCTGTTGTTTGCTGGCCTGCTGACTTCATCTTCAGCTATGATGAGGTTGCTGGGTTTCTGTCTTACGTATAGAGCAAGGATGACAAGGTTGGGTTCCAGTGCAGAATAGAGGCGAGAATAGAACGGTGTTGCTATGGGGCCAGGAACTTCAGAGAGGAGTGGGACTGTGTGTTACAGCCCATCTGTGGGGACAGAGATATGTGCTGGACTGCAGGAAGCTGGAAAAGGCTGAGAGCAGTGGGAAGCGTTGAGAATCAGCTGTAGAATTGACAGGATATACCCTAATGCTTTCTTCCGTTTTAGTATGGAAAATTTCAAATGTGTAAACGTTGAAAGAAAAATAAAAGGAAGCTACAAGTATTCAACACCCAGCTTTAAAGACGATCCTGCTTCTCGTATACTCTTGCTGGTTCCCCCATTATTGACAGAAAGCTCAGTACCATAGCATTTTATCCTTATGTACTTCTGAATTGTATCTGCAAAAGCTGACACTTAAAAAAACACAATATTCTTATCACCAACAATCAATCCCTTAATTCTAGGGAGAATTAGGTCATATTCGATGATACTCATTCAAATCCTGTCTCTTCTTCCCTTCCCTACCCTCTCATAATAGTTTGTCTCTTTGAATCTGGGTCCAGACATATTACATTTGGTAAGTGTCTTAAGTCACTTTAGGTTCTTTTCCTTAAACCCCCCTGCCCAAGA